TACTCATAAGTGCTTCCAAACAGTTCTTCCCTTTCTGGCTCCCAAAGCTATTCCCATAGTGGACACTCAATCCCTGCTGGAAAGACTGCTTTACTCAGCCTGCATTCCAACCCACCTTCTGGACAAGAACTGCTAAATATCACTATTTTGTCAGCCTCACTCACTGCCGTCGAGTCGGTCCCGACTCATAGCGACCCCTCCTTGGGTTTCCGAGGCAGCATCTCTACAGAATAGATAGCCCAGTCTTCCTTCCATGGAGTGGCTGGTGGGTTTGAACCGCCAGCCTTCTGGTTAGTAGTCAAATGCCTTAGGCACTATGCTTAACCCTGCTTTTATCAGAACATTTTTGATAAAGTAAATGACAGATACCATAATTTAAGAAAATGGTTTTATTCCTAAGTTTTAGTTCCCATACAGTTTACAAATACACTTGTACTCTGATAATATGGCTTTGCACCTAGCAAAGCCGTTGCGCTAACACCCATAAATACAGGTGGGGAGACAACTGACGTCCACTAATGTTGCTCTACATAAACTATTGTTTTAATGTCATTTCTTTTTTTCTTTTTTCCAAACAATTGCAAACAGACTACATAATTATACGTGGGCAAAAGGCAAATAAGTGGATCTCTTGAAACACTAAATGTCTAATAAACAATGCATATTATCAACATTTACATGATTCACATCAAAATGATGACATCCTAGAACGTATTCCTTTTAAAGGATAGATTTATCAATAAAATATTACATATCTTTTAATACTCTGGTACATTACTTCATATACTGCAGGAAAATCAAACGCAGGTCTAGTCATCAGCTTAATAAAGGATCCTTTCTCATTAGCTTTTATTAATAAAAGTATCACAATTAGGTCATAAATAACAGGCAAAATCATTAATTACATGTTTTGAGGTTTAGGACGAAAACTTGTAAAAATTAGTTTTGATATACAGCAAAGTTATACAACACTCTAAAACTGACTGTTTCATATTTTTGCCTTGTGTGAACTGCCCATAGTGAAAAATGAACAAAGTTTTAGTGATGGAAGATACAATAAACTATTATTTTGGAACTTAATTTTCAAGAGGAAGAGGAGGAAAAGATTTCAACAAAATGAAGGGCTAACACAGATCCTAATAAAGGTATCCAGAAACCAGGGAGGCCATGTGCTCGTGAGACAAAACTTCACTCCCCTGAGAACATGCAGGGAACGAAACCGACAGCGGGTTGGCCTTGCGTCTACAGTCCACCTTTCCCCCTCTTTGGGATCCCCAATCTACAACAACACCCTTCACAGTCACAGCCCCCTCCATACTCCCCTGAACTATCAGGATGTTAAGATTAGCTCGAAAATCCCCAGTAAAATACCCCGTAAGAACAGGGTGACGATTTTCTTGGCTGTACCAAAGCCAGGAGGCTCCGCAAAGAATACAGAAATGCCAAGCTATTCACACATCTGTTTTCTCACTCCCAATTAGCCACATCTGAAGAGTTACTAACTTCATGGGAGGGATGACCATGACTTTCAGGAGGGCCATACACTAACTGGGAGATGACTTTTTATTTTTATTTTCTTAAAAAAGCTATTAAGACACTGAAATGCGGCTTTTTCTTTTTCTTTTTTTTTTTTTTAACCCCAAGACCCTGAGTCAGATCATTTCTTCACCAAATGTTCTGGCAGGTATGGGTCACTGTGCAAATTTAAAGCCTACCAACAACTCCGAGTTCCTCCCTGGCTGCCGACTGCAGTGTGTACCGGTCACACCTGTTTGCCAGGGAACCTGACGGACCCATCACCAACCGCCCTGGCCCTGGGCCCTTCTACTTCCTCATAAACCACCTTCTTGGACTTACATTTCCACTGTTTTCAAACCCTTACCTCAACCTGCTCCTATCTTCATGCTGATCCCTTCCTGTGTCATCTCCTTGGGGAACCTGTAACACCTTTTCCCAAACCCACTCAGCATACCTTAGCATACCAGGGACCACTAGAGACCTTGTCTTGGTATAAGTTTACATAACAACATGATCAGTTTGCTTGCTCAGTGGAGGGGACTCTAAATTCAATCAAGGTCCTGTTACAGCTGGCCAAGATCAGGCATTTCAGTTCTAAGTGCAAAAGCAACCCATCTTAAGCTACACACACAGACAAGAATGCAATAGATGTATTTGAGTAGCAAACCTTTGTACGCTGGTGAAAGACTGACCCCGAAGTCCAGAGCCAAGACATTACCACAATATCGAGGCAAAAATGGAGAACTATCCCACGTGACGATGCAATAAAAAAGGAACAAGGATTTCATCAGACCCTTGTGGCAAATACTGAAATGGAATCTCTTTCTTTACAGGCTTGACAAGACAGTAGTCACTGAATTCCCTTAGCAAGGTAATGACCTTCAGGCCATAGCTGTGCTCTGAAGCAATTCTAAGTTCAACGGAGAGTGGGGAGGGGTGGAAGGAGAAGATCAATGTGCATTCTGACGGTGAAAAAAGTCAGCCGGGGCTCTCCCCAAACTCCCTCAGGGTTTCAAGGGAGCTGAAGACCTCAGAGAACTATTACCAGGGCTGCGCCTAGACCTCCTCTCAGAAGCCAAAGTGAAAAGAATCTGAGGAGGAAACCATGGTAACAGCAAAGTTGCTGTAGCATTTCATTATCTTTACAAAGACAACCAAGGACACCTTAACTGGAACACACTCACTGAATCATGATTCAACACACAGGGCAAAAGGGGATGTCTTTGGAAAAGGCACTTAAGGTCGAACGTCAGGAAATGGTACTGCTTGGTTAAAACGAAAATGCGCTACTGCTGATTGAAGTGGGAGAGGGGCCTGGTTAGGATGCTCCTCTCAGGCCGGCCTGACTGGACACCAGGGCACTGAGAGGGCGGCCATTCAAGTGCTCTGCCCCTAAACACACCCATCCTTGGGAGGCCAGTTCTCCCAGGCAAGGTTCAAAGACCAGGGTCAGAGCCAGCACAGCTGGTTCAGGAAAGCTGGAGGGACCTCTACTTCTCAGTCTCACTGCAGGTTACACCAGTTACTCTAAGCAGCTTCTGCTTGCGCTACCTGCCGTTGTTTTTCCATGGCACTGGCTGTGGCAGGCTGTTACACTGGGGCGTCCAACGAGTCGAGTGCCCTCATGAACCCAGGCTAGGCCTGACCACAGAAGTGATACAGTGACGGCGGCAGACCTACGTCTTAAGAAAGCCTGGCCACTTCTGCTTTGGCACTCTCGGGAGCTCTGAATGCCATGTAAGAGGCCCAGCTGCCCTTCTGGAGAGGCCATGTGAACAGGGAGAGACCCTGAGGACTACACGCAGAGTCAAGAAAGGCCACCTGCCCCAGTGTCTCTGGCAACCTCCTGACCACACGAGTGTCCACCAGCCAGACCAGCAGAACAACAATACGGCTGAGCCCAGCCTGGATTGAAAAATAACGAGCAGAAACACAGCAATTGTTTGAAGCCCTAAGTTTTGGGGTGGTTTGTCAGGAACAAGTGCGAACCAAAACACCGCCCTTTCTCCAAAGACAAGCCAGGTCCTCAGTGCACAGGAGCACGGTCAAGGATTTCCCCCCACAGCCCTTGCAGCCAAATAGGCTGAATGGCAGCTGGTCACCTGCTAAAAAGAAAAATACCTCTTGCCCTAACGAGCATGTTTCCATGACTTCTCAAGGGCAGTACAAAAGCAGACAGTTGCCTCTGACCGTCTGGGGCACTGGTTTCATGATCATTCGCCCAAAGAAAGAGGCCACTGAGAGGAACTATCCACCACAGGACAAATGATGGCAAATGAAACTGTTCCCGCTTCTCTAGGACGTTGTTACTTAATTTTCCCACATCACTTCTCCTCTTACAAGTGCCCTGTCATCCCCCAGAAAGAGGAAAAAAAAAGAAAGAAAGAAATTTGTTAAAAGTTATACAAAGAAAAAACAATGCTGATCACCAGAATCTGAATCATCACCATCTGCAAAATACAGAGAACAATTCAACTGCTTCCTCAATTTGAAACGGACGTCTGTGAAGGAGAAACGCTGTCTACATGGTAGAGGTGATTCTTCTTATGTGAGCAACAGGGAACTGGAACTCAGGTACGGCGCGCTAGAAGACAGTGCTCATCAAGTGGTTTCAAACGTCGCTTATCTAAAGGTAGTCAAGAACATCAGAATGCAAACCTCTGGATTCAAATTCATTCTTCACATCAAGTTTCTTCCATCTTTTCTTGATCTTTTTAGGGAGAGAGTGAAAGTCCGTGTCTGAGGAAGAAATCAGTGACATTTTTAAGCAATGTAAATCCAAAGCTCAGGAAAGCATTAAGCTATTTTAAGAGAGCTGCAACACTTTTAAACTGACTACCCCAGTCAAGTGAGAACTTCAACACGAGGCAACAGAAATGAAGCATTTCTACTGTCAACACATGCACCACATCCTTGGACCACTGTCTCGTAAAGGAGACTGACAGGGAAGAGACGCACAAGGGAGAGGAATTTCCAGCCACAGAGCTGGAAGGATGTGGAGCTGATCCAGTCGGAGGCCAGGGAGTTCAGACCCCAAGACACACAGGTGCTCAGAGGCCAACTGGGCCAAGAACGTGGACAGCCTGCCTCCCAACCATCAGCGCTATGTCCAGATGCCTCCCAGAGCCCTGCAGTTCATCTCTCAGCTCAGCTCCGTTAAGCAACTGTGGTAGAAATGTCAGGAGCGATGATGATCACCACTAGCAACCTTTCCTCAGGACTAAGTGCTAATCTTGCCCCTTGCAGAATGAATTCTGTATTTGTTTTGAATGTGCGATGAATCCTAAAGTAAATCCAGCTTAGAAGTAGTAGTTTAGGGAGAGGAAATGAGAAGCTGTCTTGTAAAACTTAATTTTGGTGCACGTTGCTGAAACACAATTGCTCTGCCTCATTTAAAACTTCACCCCAGTGCATACGAACAAGTAACCAAGAGGGCGTTTCGCACGGAATACCTTTCTGTGCTGAAGCTCTGGCTGCTCTTCTCATCTGAAACTCTTCTGCTGCTGCATCAGGCCCACGTTTTCATAGACTCTGGCATTATCTTCTCTCATTCTGAAAAGAGGAGACGTATTTACAGAAATGCAGAGCGTGCTGCTGACACTGACAGGATGTCTGTTCGGCACATGCTGCAAGGTTCTTTGGACCAGACATGGTTCCTGCCCCAAGGAGCTGACTTTCTAGAAAGGGACAGAAGGCATCCATTCACACGTAACATAACCATGATGTCACAAGTTGAATCCGAGCCTCAAATCGTTGTGCTCTCTGGGGTTTGGAGAAAAACACATTCTTTTCCAGGCAGGCCAAGTCAGGGTAGCCTTAAAGGGTGTAGGATGTGTACAAAAAAATAGAAAGAACTGCTGTTAATGGAGAGTCAAACCCATTGTCATCAAGTTGAGTTCCAATTCATAGTGACCCTACAGGCCAAAGTCAAATTGCCCCATAGGGTTTCCAAGACTATAAATCTTTACAGAAGCACACCACCACATCTTTTTTGCTTCAGAGCAGCTGGTGGACTCGAACCACTGACCTTCTGGTTAGCAGCTGGGGACTTAACCAGTGTACTACCAGGGCTCCTTCATGTCAAGTCAAGGGACCAAACAGGCAAAAGTTCCAAAAGCCAAACCCAAGTGCAGCCAGCAGTGACTACAGACGTGTTTAGCTTTAGCCCAGGCAACAGGAAGGAGAAAGTGAACACAAGGCTGAACTACAATTTGGGGTCTTAGGATGGTGGACCAACGCATCAAAGAGCCCGGATCCGTTTTGGTTGAGAAGGACAAACAGCTGTGGGAGACTGTCAGGAGGCACCCGGGTTATCCTGGGTCTGCACCCTCCCCGAAGAGGACAGTGACAGCAAGAAGGGACATGTTGGTGGAGAGAACGCTTTGGGTGTGTAATTTCCTTTCAGCATTAAATAGGAAGCAGTGTCAATACAAGCCTATTATATGCTATCTAAAATGTTTACAGAGCATATTAAAGCCTTGGGGGCGGTGGTAAAAATCCACATCAGAAGCAAACAGATAAAAGATTCTTAGGGGAAAATAGAAAGTAAATGTTATGCTGGAGAGTGACCTTAGAACATGGAAACAGCACCTTACAACCGCTATTCCCACTAACAAATGCTTTCCTAGCATGTGTTTTAGGTTAAATGAGGAGGCCGCAAAGTTTTTCTATGAAGGACCAGAGTAACCAATCTCAGCTCGTCAGGCATGTATGGTCTCTGCCCTAGACTCTTCTTTTAAAAATCATTCTTAGCTCATGGGCCATACAAAATAGGCCGTGGCCTGCATTTGGCCTGTGGGCTGCAGTTCACTGACCCCTGGTTTAAATGCCCAAAGCAGATGTCTACTGACTAATGGAAAATTGGCCTATCAGGGCTGTGGTGATGCATTTTCCGTGAAGAGAAAAATTAAATTTTCCTTGGAGAACCACTTGATGTCCTTACCGACTGCCTGTTGTTGTGTGCCATCATTGATTTTCAACTCATAGCGACCCCGTGGGACACAAAGAACCATCCCACAGGGTTCTCTGGGCTGTAATCTTTATGAAAGTGGGTCATCAGGTCTTCCCCCATATAATCCCAGGCAGTGTGACAATCAGCCTTCGGTTTAGGTAAACTAAAACTTGGGTTAGATAGTAGCATCAACACAATCCAGAGAAGTTGCTGGTCAATGACACATTAACTGATCAGGTGACAATAATAAGTGCCAATGAAACACACATGCACGCACACACTCTACAGAGACTTGTTTGGGTTCTTGAGCTCGTTTATAGAATTACGTGCAGGTGAAAAAGAATTCCCTTCACCACTACTTACTCTGTACAGGATGGTGTTGGCGTACAAGGTGGGAGGGGACTCTGATCGCCACTGGTCTGGTCCGCTAGGGAATACTTAATATTTGTATATTCATGTCCTTTCCTCTTGCTTTTCTGAAAGTGTAAGGTAGCATACAAGGGCATGTGAGTATTTCAAAAGGGATAAAGAAGAAGAAAAGACATTTAACAAAAAAAGAAAAAAGGACAGACATTGATAGGTTACTAATGGCTGGAAATCCATCTTCTCAATGTAAACACATCTTATTGGTCAAAGGAGTATTTGAACCATAGAATTCAAAGCACAGAGATTAATGCATTAACAAGTTACCATATCAAACCAAATGGGCCTGTTTCTGAGCTAAGAGAAAAGTCACACCAGTATCCCGTCCTTTCATAGTTCCCTTGTAACCCATGGGATGATTTTCAGGTAAACTGGTGGGATAGGCCATCCAGAAGTGAATTCACGTCAAGCAGAGATGGTACCCAAGTCTCTGTGATGGGGGTGCACATGTTTTGTCACAGCCACCTGTCTGGAAAAATACCTTGCCATATTTTTAAACTTTATTTTTGGCTTTAATGATAACTCTGAAAAAAATTGGCAAAAAAAAAAAAAAACACATACAGAAATGTAATCTCATCTCAGATGTAGAGTGCAGTGCATTTGGTAGGGCTCCCAAAGAGGTGATTTTCATCACCCTGGTCTGCTCCTACATTCATACAGAAACTACCAGTTCTAAAACTCTAATCCATCAAATTATCATTACACAATGACTCAACACATAGGGTGCTCACAAAATGGCAAATACGGGGAAGGATATCCGTATCAAATACTGACGTAGATGTGGAGAGCTTTCAATCCTGCTGGTGAAAGGGGAGAATACTATCACTCGGGTAAGCAATTAATTAGTACTACTAGGTACTATCCAGTGAAAATGAAAAGGCCTATAACCCTGAACATCTACTTCTTGAGAAACTCTTGCACATAAACCTCAAAGACTTGTAAGAGGGAGTCCAGTGAAGAGGAAATGAATGGACATACTCATATCATGAAAGGAAACTCAACAGTGAAGAGGGATAAGGAGGAAATATGCTCATGTGTCTCAAAACACAGTTCTGAAACAGTGCTGACAGGAAAAAAGCAAACTGCAGACCAACGTAACCTGTGCACCATTGGGGTGAACGTTTCAAACATATAAAACGACGTTACGTACTGCTTACAAATATCTGCATTCAGACTCTGAAAAAACAAGGAGACTGGAAGGCTGTTGATTGCTTTGGGGGTACAAGGGGTGGCGGTGGGGGATGGGCAGGCAATGAACATCAAAGGGAACCTCAGCTGCATCTGCTACACTTCACTTCTTTTATAAAAGAAAGAGTTGGAGGAAATGTGGCAAAAGGATGACTCTGGTTAAGTTCTTGGCTGCTAACCAAAAAGTCAGTGGTTCAAATCCAGCTGCTCCGCATGAGAAAGATACTGCACACACTGCTTCCTTGGAAACCCTTTGTGGCAGTTCTACTCTGTCCTGCAAGGTCACTATGAGTCGGAGTTGATTCCACACCAACAGGCTTTGGTAGTTAAGTGCTGTTCAGTCAGATTTCCAACTCCTAGCACCCCATAGGATAAGACTAGGCTGTGATCTTCCCAGGAGCAAATTGCCTGGTCTTTTCCCCATGGAGCCACTGGGTGGGTTTGAACCACCAACCTTTCGGTTGGCAGCCAAGCACTTAACTGTTGCTCTACTACAGCTCCGCAGTTACGGGTTATGGTACTGGATTTTTTTTTTTAATTTTCATAAAGAAGTATTAAAACAAAATAAATTTGGGAATAGGTAAGAACAATGGTTGGACAACATGATGAACATAATCAATGTCAGTAAGCAGTACCCATGAAAACTGTTGAAACAACGTTTTTTATCATATATTTACAATTGACAACAACTGTATTGAACTGTATTAAAGCATCTGATAACTCTGTATGAAAGTTATCTGTATGAAACGCCCTAAAGAAACAAAACATACAAGAAATTTAAATCCATCAGTAAGGCTTCTTTCCTTCCCTCACTCAAAACCAGTAGCCAATAAAAAGTGGAAAATCTCATTACCCAGGAAACACTCCACTTGAATCCACAAACTATCTATCAAGCATCTCTGCCTTACTTCTGGAGAACTGGTGGGACCAGAGCAGGAAGCTGAGAACTCACACGTGACCACTCAGATTTCAAACCGGAAACAGAACCCTCATAAACCTCTGTTAAAGTGAGGAGACCTGAGGGTGGGCAATTGCACCATCTCTCAAACCTCTCTGATAAAGAACCATATGGGTCTCCCAGCAGAAAAAGCGAGCTATATAGGAGAAGGTATGACAAAACTGACCTTAGACTTCATCACAACCACCAAATTCTAAACAATCCCATGGGAAGACAACCATCCAAGAATCTTAACCCCGCCCACCAGGGACCAGGTGTTCCCATGCATGCAAAAACTTAGACCACAATCTAATTTTTTCAAACCACTAGGTAATAAAATCCAGCTGCGACAGACAAACCAAAAGCAAAATAAGTAATTCAGGTAAATAGAAACCATGATGAAAGGACTCATGAGCGATGAGTTTTAACACAATAGCCACACGAAACCACCAAGGGGACAAAAGCTAACGATATCATAGATCGTAGTAAAAATCAGATGGCAAAAAAAAAAAAAAACAGCCCTGCAGATGGAATTAAATGGATAGTAATTATAACAATAAAAGTAGTTAACATTTTCTGAGCACTCACTTGGTGGCAAGCCCTATCTGAATTTTCTCATTTTAATCCTCATCACAATATTTTGAAATAGATATTGTTATTAACCCTACTTAGAGAGGAAATATGTAATTTCTGGGTTATGCCCTTAAAACAGGGGTGATGGGGGAAATGCAGAACAGAATTTCAAATTCTCATG